CGAGGCTGCGGTGGCCAGGAGCATGCCACTGCACTCCAGTCTGGGCGATAGAGTGAGACTCCAACTTAAAAAAAAAAAAAAAGATTTATCTATTTTGACAATAATCATTTATTCAAAGAACCATATAGTATTCTATTGTATGAGCATATGATTGGTGATTTTGTAAGTAGTTTTTACTTTTTCACTATTATAAACAATGCTGCAATGAGTATTCGATATCTCTTTGTGCACACGTACAAGGATTGATTTGGGGTATAGCTCATGAAGTAGAATTGCTATAAATATTGACAAGTTAAAATTGAATTACTAAATATTGACAAATTGCTATCTAAAATAATTGTCTGATTTTTTTTTTATTTTTTTTTTTTGAGTTGGAGTCTCACTTTTGTTGCCCAGGCTGGAGTGCAGTGGCATGCTCACAGCTACTGCAGCCTTGACCTGCTGGGCTTAGGCAATCCTTCCGCCTCAGCCTTCTTGATTTTTTTTTTTTACTTTCACCAAAAGTTTGAATCACCATTTGGTCCAGTCAAACTTGAACTTTGGCTAATCTGATGGGTGTGGATACAATCTTGTTTTGACTTAAACATTCCTTACTATTAGTTATGTCGAGTATCTATTCATGTGTTCATTGCTTATATTGGATTTCCTCTTCTGTCAATTGCATATTTTCATTTTTTGATAATTTCTCTCTAAGCTTGATCAGTAGTTTTTTTCTTTTTTCCTTTTTTTTTTTTTTTGAGTCAGAATCATGATCATGGCTCACAGCCTTGACCTTCTGGGCTCAGGCAAACCTTCTTCCCCAGCCTCCCAAGTAGCTGGGACTATAGGTGCCCACCACCACACCAGGCTAATTTTTTTTATTTTTGTAGAGACTAGATCGCTCTATGTTGCTAGACTGGTCTCAAACTCCTGGGCTCAAGCAATCCTCTTGCCTTGGCCTCCCAAAGTTCTGGGATTACATGTGTGAGCCACTGCACCTGGCCTGATAAGTAGTAGTTCTTTATATACTCTGCATATACTAATTATTTGTTAGTTTTATACACTGCAAATATCTTCTCCCAGTGAGAACTTGTTCTTTTCATTTCCACCAACAAGAAGAATACCTGGAAGAACTTCTAAATTTTTAAATATATATTTAGAATTTCTAAAATACAGAAAAATGTACAGAAAGTTTTTAAAGATAAAAAGAGAACGAGAGAAGGAAGGAGAAAGTAATTTCACATTATTTTGACCTAAGCATTTGAAGAAGGTCTATAATAGACTTGACAGTACTAAATAATTTTAGTTCAAAGTATCTGATATATTTAAATTTTTACTATCATAGCATGAGGGCATTCTAAGTTGTTGGTAGTGGCAGTGATGTGATGTTGACTTTTTATTTTATACCTTGTTTTTTGATTCATCTGAAAAACATTTTTTACCAAAATAGATTTTTTTCTTCTGTGCACCTTTTTTTTTTTTTTTTTAAAGCAAGTCACTACAGTTGAAAAAGCCTCGTAACTAGGTTAATAAGTATTACCTTAGGATCTCTTTTGGTTATTTTATTGCTGTTTTTTCTTCATCCCCACTCCACCTTCTTTTCTGTAGCAGGCACAATTAATTACATAAAAGATACATAGAGTCCACATTTGCTTTCCTTAGGCATAGGAATTACACTGCCTATTTCCATAGAAGCAGTATTCTCCTAGACCTTCTCTATAGATGCCAATTAGAAGATTAGCGTCTTTTCTCTCTCCCTCTTTGCTATTAAATAGTCACACAAAAGCTGAGCTGACAAATTACTCCCTCCATGGTGCTCGACAAAGACAGACAATAGATCATCATCATTTACTATACTCAAATCCTATTAATCACAGATTAATGAGAACATGTCTAGTGGGGAAGAAATTACCAGAATGTGGGCCTATTGGCTTGTTACTCATGTAACATCTGCTCAGGCTTTACCTTTAGTGTCATGTCATCTTTTATCACATTGAAATAATGTTTGCTCCAGAAACATAATTAAGATAATGGAGCAGATTCAGAGCCCTTCCCTTAATAATTAAAGAACTGGGGTTATATTTCTTAGTCCAGTGGCTTTTAAAAAACTAATTTCCCTCTGTTCTTGATTATTTCCTTTTTCTTTTGCTCATAATGAACTATCACATCTTGGGGTTTTGTTTTTTTTTTTCTCTCTCTCTCTGTAAACTATGTAATTAATCCTCATACCCAAAACTAGGACAAAGTCAGACTTTGAGTTCCTTTTTTCTTTTGAAATAAAATTTTTACAATATAAAATTCAACTTTGTAACCATATAAAGAAATACAATTCAGTAGAATTTTTTTGTAATTTGAAATATTTGCATTTCAGATTAATACTTACAATACCGTGTACGCTTTGTAAGGAACATCAAGTACTATATTTACTTTTCTTAATCCTCATCTACAATGTGCTGTCTTTTTAATAGTCACATACTCTTATTTTTTAAATCTGAGGTTTCATCAACAGTTTAGTCTTTTATACTTAAGCTAATTATCTTCTTTAAAGCATAGAAGTTGAAATTTGGGTTCAAATATTTAATATTCTTGGAGGTCTCCTATTTAATTTTTGGTCCAGTGGGGTAGAACTGTGGAAACAGATAAAAAGATGCTTTTTTTTAAGCAATGGCATTTATAATTAGCTCATAATGAGGGAAGAAGAATCATAATTCATGATTATAAAACTGAAGAAAGTAATTGCTTATGTTATTAGAATCTAGAATATGTACTTGTCACTCTTGGAAGGCAGTGGTGATTAGTGCTCAGGGCTGGATGAGCTGTGATCTAAAGCTTTGTGATTAAGCTATGATTCAGCACCACAGGAATAAAAACAGCTCCACAACCAAGAGCTGGCAAGCACCAGTTCAGGGAGGATGATTGCAAAGAGCTTCTTAATTAAATTTTAATTATTGCTAATTAGAACTACTGTTTTTTATATCCCCAACAAGGAAGACAAGAGTTGATCCTGCCTTTTTATTATTCTGCTAATTAGTTTCCCAAGGAGAGGTTTGAAAGGCCAGGCTCTGCTTTGACAGTATCCAAGTTGCTAGCTGAGCTCAGACCTGCAGGTAGATCCCATCCTAAAGCTTGAGCTTTAATATTTCTAGAGTAGTACTTTTCTGGTTCTAAAATTTTATTACAAATACCTAAGGGAATGAATTGTCTCCATGCATTATTTAAAGAAATTCATAAATTAATTATCCTGTTGTTTAGGCTGTCTAACTTATCCTCACACTAGTATCAAAGATTTTGCTTAATTATTTTAAAAGACAGTGAACCCTCTACACACATTAGTATGTTCATGCAAACTTTATGCTTTTCTGAATTGTGAAATGTTAGAGATTATGTCTACCAGATTAAAAAGAGTAACCAGGCTAGGTCCAGTGGGTCACACCTGTAATCCCAGTGCTTTGGGAGATAGAGGCAAGAGGATTGCTTGAGCCCAATGGTTCAGGAACAGCCTGGGCAACATGGCAAGACCTCGTATCTACAATAAATTTTTTAAAAATTAGCCGGGTGTGGTGGCACAAACCTGAAGTTCCAGCTTCTTGGAATGCTGAGGCAAAAGAATTGCCCAGGAGCATGCCACTATACTCCAGCCTGGGCAACAGAGTGAGACTCCAACTCACAACAAAAAAAAATAGAATAACCAGATGTACACATAAAAACTGACAGCTGGTTTTCTCTAGCAGTGAATTTGGTGTTTTGCAATAAGTAACAACAACAAAATCTTAAGTCCCTGCTCTGAAGAGCTCCCAAGTTCTATTAAATACCATTTAAGATGAAATGCCCCGAAATGGTCCAGGTAAGCCACACTTGAGATTGCAGAAACCCTAATTGTAAACTTGAGTACATAATCCCAAAAGGTTCCCAAGATCCATTAGCATTATAAATCCTCTACAAAATATGAATTCTATTTTATAAGTGCACACATTTCATAACTCTTTTCCCAAGATAATAAAGCTAAGAGTTCTGAGTTGGTGCAACTCCCTGTGTTAATTACAATAAAATCCATCAAATGAAATTACATCTTTGGAATCAGCAACTTTTGGCCAAGCAAACCCACATGCCTTGACAGCCTTCCTTTGCAGTTGGAGTTACATTAACACGTGTTTGTTTCCTCACCTTTTATAGACACAAGAGCCCTGTGATATGTTAATTCACACCAAATTCCAATCGTTTCCCTTGTCTTTATCTTCCCAACTCAATGATATGATGTGTCAACACCTCTCATATTGGGAAGAAAAAATGCTTAGACAAGATTTTGTTTTTACTGACTTTAATTAAAATTACAGGAACTAGAAAACAAAGAGTAAATAAATTAAATCTGCCTTTCAGTGCCATTCACCATGTGCCCTGTCAATATCTACTCTGATCTGCATTATTCTAAAAAGTTATCTGGGTCTGTCTTACTCTGATTAGTCAATTAGCCACATCTCACACTGATTTAAAATGTGTTTTTTCAGGTCAGTAAGTTACTCACAACCTTGTAAGTAGTTGACATAACAATAAATAAAGACTTCTGAGATTTTCCATTAACGCTCAAAGATTTCTGCTGCTTCTTTAGCCTATTCCATATTTAAAAGCGATCTAATACTTATATAACTTTTCTCTTCAAAATCAGAAACATTACAAAATTATATTTTCCTTTATTATATATTTATATGTTAACTATGGAGCAGGTTATTATTAACTCCATTTTTACAGGTGAAGAAAGTCCACTAGAAAATAATCCAACTCCAGTTATACTCCTTTTGTAACTTGCTTGTTACGTTCTTGTTGCTTGTTCCACAAATATCTCTATTAGTCAACAGCGGTTGGGTTTTTTTTAAGCAGCACTTGGATTGTTCTAAACCTCTACGGGTAACCAAGGGGAAACCTCTAGACTGGGTACCTTAGAAGACAATGGGAGTGAGATAGGAAACAAAGGGGGGAAATGACAAAATCAAACAGGAGAGCAAACTTGCACAGAATAATAGTGTAACAAGAACTGAGGAATCTGTTAATTCAATTCTGTGCACCTGGTCTTTCCTCTACCCACTGACCTTTCCCATCCCCCAAACACCACCCACACGTGAGATTCCACAAGACTTGAAACTATGTTTATAACTTCTCAAAAGTTAGAATTAACACTGGGCACAGTAGTCTAACACCTGTAATCCCAGAGCTTGGGGGGCTAAGGTGGAAGGATTACTTGAGTTCATTTCAAGATCAGCCTCAGCAACATAGTGAGACCCTACCTCCACAAAAATTTAAAAATAACTAGCCAGGCATAGTGGTGTGCACCTGTGGTCCCAGCTACTAGAGAGGCGGAAGCAAGAGGGTCACTTGAGCCCAGGGGTTCAAGGTTGCAGTGAGCTATGATTGTGCCACTGCACTCTAGCCTGGGTGACAAAGCAAGACCATGTCTCTTGGGGAAAAAAAGGTTGGGATTCCTTATTTTATTTTAAGTTTTGGGAGCTTTGGTGAGTTATAAAGTAGTAATTTAGTCACAAATAGTGCATACCTCAATTAAAGCATAAGTGGGCGGACCAAAAACAAAACCAGAATTATCTTTTTGGAGTGCGGACACCTTGTAGTACACTCAGAATGTGTTCCTCTGGATCAAACGGTCAACCAAAGTTTTTATCTGGAAGTTTTGAGAAGGTTTCATAACAATTTATGGTAGAAACATTCTGAGTTGTGGCAAACAGGTGACTGGTTCTTCCACCATAACGATGCAACTGCTCACACCACGCTGAGTGTTCAACAGTTTTTGGCCAAAAACAGCATGGCCCCAATGCCCCACTATCCTTATTCACCAGATCTTGCCCAAGCAACTTTTTTTGTTTGTTTGTTTCTCCAGATAAAAAAGTCATCAAAGGGAAATGTTTTACCGATGCGGAAGAAGTGAAACAAAAAACAGAATGGACGAATTCAAAAACAATTTAGAGCAATGGAAAAAGCATCTCTATAGGTGTATTGCATGAAACGGAGAGTACTTTGAAGTTGACTGAAGTTTAGACACGTAAGAATAAAGACACAATTTTCTATAAATAAATTCTGTTTTGGGGGTCTCCCCTCGTATATCTTAAGGTCTGAATGTGTGTGGCCCACCAAAATTCATATAGTGAAGTCCTGTTCCCAAAGTGATGGTATTAGGAGATGGAGCCTTTGGGATGTAATTAGGCCATGAGGCAGAGCCCTCATGAATATGATTCATGCTCTTATAAGGGGCTGAAGAAACCAGTGTTCTTTCACCATGTGAGGGTACAACTAGAAGACGCCAACTGTAAACCAGAAAGCAGGCCCCTCCCAGACACCAAATCTGCCAATGCCTTGATCTTGAACTTTCTGGCCTCCAGAACTGTGAGAAAGAAATTTGTGTTGTTTATAAGTCTAGTAAGAAGAGATATCACTTTAATGTAAAAACTTAATTTCTAACTCTAGCTTGCCTATTCTCCTAGACTATGGAAAAGTTGAGGTTAGTTTTCAAAGCCCTTCACTCATCTCTTCTGAGTTAGATCAAGATTCTGATCTTTTGCAGTTTGGGGTGGGGCAAATTATGGTGGGGCTGGTTCTAGCAATCAATCATCTCTGTACTGTATCGTGTTCTGTGGTCTTGTCTAAACAACTCTTTCAGTGTCAGCAGTTCTCTTCTACTTCATCGACATATTTGGGACTTTGGATCTTCCTTGAAACTGACTCAATCCCATATGCCTAGAGGCAGTAGATCCTACTCATCCCCAGGGTGCTGCCAAAAAGCCAGAACTGGGACACTGATGCCCTACAGTTCACAGACTTGTCTCTTCTATCTATCCAGGGTAATATTTTCCATGTGAGATGTGTGTGTTGAAGAAAAGGAGTGTAGGAGGAAGCCTCACTTTCTACTCCCCACTTCTCCAGGACATTCTACCTACCTGTAGACCTCCTTCTCCTTTTTTTCTTTTCCACAAACTCTCTAAATCTTCCCAAGAGCTTAATCTTTTGGAAACAAAAGCCAAAAGGTCTTGCATAATAACTCTGCTTTCTCTTCTATAGAAACCCTAGGCAAAGTACTTACTTTATTTATTTATTTTTATTTTTATTTTTTTTTTTTTTTGAGTTGGAGTCTCACTCTGTCGCCCAGACTGGAGTGCAGTGGCCGCTCCCGGCCACCGCAGCCTCGACCTGCTGGGCTCCGGCAATCCTTCCACCTCAGCG